GTGCCTCCCTCAAACCTTCTTACAACATCGGCTCATTACCTGACATGGAAAAATAAAATAAAATAAAATAAATTTGTTGCCTAAAATGCTAGAGTAGATATATCTCATTTTTAGACGCTTAGTTTCCACATTTCTTATTTTTGCATCTTGTGAATAATATTGTGATATAGCATTTATAAATAAAGCTCTTGCTCCATTTCAGATTATTTCCTCCAGAAAGAATCCCAGATATGGGATTATAGGTTCCAAGTGTTATGAACATTCTTAAAGGTTGAATCACAGTGCCAAATTGCTTTCTAAAGAGGTTATTTCAGTTTACACTCCCACTCACAATGTCTAAGAGTACCCATTTTATCTCACCAGCTTTGAATGTTATCTTTTACTTAAATATTTACTAATATGGTACTCAACTAAAATGTTACAGTTTCTGGTCTGTTTGCTGTTGCAGAGGATAAGATAAAATCAAGGTTTTTGGAGTCAAATATATATGTGGGTTTGGTCATAGCTCTGCCTCTTCTTAGCCTTGTTACATTGGGCAAATTAATCCTTTTTAGGCTCTCTTTATTCATTGGTTACAAAAAAAAAAGGTCAATAATAGTATTTTCCCCCTAGCACAGGGTTGTTTTAACCATTAAAAAAGTCACTTAAAAGAATGTTACACCAGTGCCTGGCACATGACCAACAATAGGGAATCCTTCATTTTCAGTTGCAAAAGTGTGTTATAGACTTTTGATTAGTGTACTATTTAGAAATATTTAATACATAATACTTGGACTACGCATGCAACCTAACATGGAAGGCTAAACAATTACCAGGAGAATTCTCACACACTAGGGAGAAGAAGATCAGGGAATGATGTTTTGGTGGGCTCTAAGAACCACATAAACCTGTTTGGTTACAAAGCACACACCTGGTTTCCATCCTTGAGGAATTTGCCTTTGAGGTCAACCCTTGAGTCTCTTGGGGCTTTTAATTGTTCAGAGACTGCTCAAAGGGCAATAGTGATAACTCACGGAAGAGGAAGCTTAGTGAAAGTGATCTGGAGATAGTTCCTGGAAAAAAATACTATCTCAACAAAGGTAAACGCTAAGGCAGGATGGATATGAATTATTTGTTCTATAAAAGTTAAGTACATTTATGAGTTTTGTCATTTGCATCTAAAATTTGTTCACATAAGATAAGCTAAATTGCAAACGGCAAGCCAGCCTACTCTGATTTTGTGCACTTGCCGTTTGTACACTCATAGCAAGTTTTGCTCTTAGGATCCCAGCAGAAAATACTGAGAGGAGGAAGCATGGAGTAGATAACAGAACACTGATCCGGAAATCAGGAGCTTTCATCTAATCCCAGCCACTAACTACAGTGCGTGGGCTAGAGTTAGACTATGACTGAATGCCTAACTTTCTCTAAATCTAGAATAATTCAGGTTTGGCTGCTCTTTGGGGCCCTATTTCCAACTTTTTCTTCCGAGCCCACTGCTTCCAACTGCCAAAGATTGTCGTTGGTAATAAAAAATTATCACATATCCTTGCTTGGGTTAAAACTTGCACTCCTGATTTGGGGCCATATTCATTGAGGTTTGGGTGGAGTTTAAAAATTGTCCCTGAAAAAACAAGTTTTTCTAGTTGGTTAAAACCTGCCAAAATAATTTAAACCTTCTTCGTTGCAAATACAAGTTCCTCTCAGGTAGGCCCGCTTCTCTCTGCTAGTACAGGATTTTCAAAGCGAACAGCCAAGTGACACGCCCAATTTGGTTCCCGATTCCCCCCGGGAAGAATTCCTCCTTTGGGGGCGATGGAGACGCCCTCAGTGAGTTTGCTGGCACCAGCGGGAGTTTCAAGTTTCCACTCGTGGGGGAGGCGGCGGGCGCTCTCCGAGCTTTGGGCTGGGCGGCTCTGCTTCCCTTGACCGCAGTCTTCGCTCCAGCCCAATCCTCTCAGGAAGGACTCGCCCTATTTCCCCCGGGGCTCCAGTGCCCGCAACCTCGTCCCTCGTGCTTCCAGGCCCGAGACCGCGACCCCCGGCTACGCCCCGCGCGAGGCCTGCGGCTGCGGGCCCGCGGGGCGGGGCGGGGCGCGGGCAGCCCTCACGGCGGCTGCGGCGGGGGCCGCGGCGTTGGCGCTCAGGCCGCCGCGCGAGACCGGCCGGCCGGCAGGGGGAGGCGGGGGGCGCGGGGCAGCCCCGCCTTTTCCCCGAGGAGGCGCCGGGCGGCCATATTGCGGAGCTGTCTGCGGTGGTGGCGGCGCCTCTTGTCTCCGGTGGCCCAGCACTCGCACCACCGCCTCTCCCTCCCTGCCGCAGCCGCGACGCCGGGCGCCGCCGTGCAGCGCCTTAGCCACACGCCGGCAGGCAGGAGCCGCTTGCTCTCCGGGTAAGCCGCCGGCGCCCTCCCTTCCCCCACTCCCCGCTCCGAGGCTCTGCCGGAGACGCTGAGGTGGCGGCGAGAAGTTGCGGGGCCCGCGCTACCGGGCAGTGGCGCCGCCGCCAGGGCCTGCCGCGCCTCAGCTCGCACCCCGGTGGCCAAGTCACCACCGTCGTTAACGGCCCGGCCGGCTAGGCTCTTTCCGGGGCCGGCGGGAGCCGCCAGGCCCGTTCCGAATGTGCCCCGTCCGGGCCAAAGTCGACCCGCAGCCGCGCGTTTCTCCTCTCCGCGGGGCGCAGGGTCAGCCTTCGGCGTCGGCCTCGGCTCCCCCACGTCCCGGGGATGGTGGGTTCCCGCCACCGGGACTGGGCCCGGGACTTGAGCTGGCACGGCCCTGAGGGTTGTTTGAAAATAGAAACAGTAAGCATAGGTGGAATTCTGTTTTGCAGTGTAGGGAAGGCATTTATTAGAACTTCTCCCCTAGCCTCCAGTTTGAAAGTAAGGGTGTTGAATTTCTAGAGAGCATGTGTTCCGCCCTAGTGGCAAAGGGGATGTTGCATTACGGGGCTTGGGGCGCCAATCGCTCCCGCCGCCCGCACCCGCGAGGCCAGGGCCGCGGTCCCCTGCAGTCAGGCTACCTGCTGCTGCTGGCGCCTTCGGAGCCTTTTAACTTTCTCTGGTCCTCGAGGCCGCCCAGTTTGGTATCTCAGATCTCCCCAGGCAAGTTCAGTACATTACTGTACCCCCTTCGTTTAAAGGATCCTAAACTCAATTCCAGGGCTAACTTTGAAAGGGGGCAGTGCATATTCCATATGCCATGTTTCTTTAAACATTCTCAATATTTGGGTTTTCATGTTTTTTTTTTTTTAACTTAAAGAGTAGTCATTAATGAGGTTGGAAATGTGTTAAACTTTATCAAAAATATTTTAAAATACAGTTGTGATTTTGTGGAAGACATATTTGAGGAGCTTGATGGCAGTCCTGTGGCACTAAGACTGGCAGGATGTAAATGTAAAAGCCTAAGATAATAAGGGTTTATTTGATAAGCGAGTACTTTGACATAGACATTACAATCTATTGTTTATGGAGCATACATTTTTTAGAACACTAAATACTCTTTTATATGATGGGTGGAGCTAAGAATGAACAATTGCCCTGTTCATTTTGCTGGATAAATAATGGCTTAATCCATTTGCCAAAACAGCATCGTTAGATTTGAGAAGGGATTACAGTTTTCTAGTTTTCGAGATTTCTTTGCTTTCCCCAGTGTGCTTTATGTCCAGAGACTAATAATACTTTATCTCAAATATGACAAAATGTAGAACTCTCCTTTTAAAGTTTAATAGTATTCTGTAAAGAGGACTGCACTTTTTCTTTGCTTAATCACTTTTTTTACGTATGATGGAATTTGATAAACATTTGATATATTTTTAGTAAGGAATCAGTAGACATTGGAATTTTTTTACAGTTTAAATGAAACAAAGTTTGATTATGGCATTTAAAAATGTTGAATTCTTGCCCTTTTGCATTATATACATTGTTTTCTTCTATATCCTCACCAGTGGAAGAACATGTAGGAGAGGCTCAGAAATATTTGTAGAATAGATGTAATTAATTTTGGTATAGGGAAAATATGTTGGGCCTGTCCTTTCTTTTGAAAATTGTGATTACTTAGTTGAGAATTAAATTGATTATTCTTTTCCCTGTGATGGTAAGATACGACAGACTTTGTTCTTTCCCTGTCTTGCTAATTCTCAGTAGTCTCAGGGGTGGGGAACAAGGGTTGTACTTTTGTTTATTGCTTCACCATTCCCAAGAGCAGAATTGGATTTTATTGTTCGTTTTTATCTTTGGCAGGCTGTTGAAATGAAAGTCTTTGTATATTTTTATTTTACTTTCAGTTCTCAATCTTTTAATATAATCTGTGTATGATCTATGTAATAGAGTCTGAAATGTTGAATGATAGTGGGAGTCTTGTTTTCTCACCCACTTTTAATTTAATGCATTTTAATGTATGCCATTTAAAAATAGAATCAAATTTTAACCAGTATTTCCCATAGACCAAAGCTTAAAAAATATGTTCTATTAAGGTTGCGAAGACTGAGCTGTGCTGGGAGAGGATATCTGTAGGGTACACCTAATATAATTTCATGTTACTGCTGTGAATCTGGGAAGTCAAGAAAGTCACTCTTTTTTGAGTGGCTTGGACTTTCCTGCAGAGAAAGAGCTGGTGAGCACTATTTAATTACCTGATACTACTCCTGGGGTACAGGGATTCAGTAGAGCTGGATTGGATTGCTATGGACTCCACCCTTACAAGATTATTTTAAGTCTCAAGGTATTACTGGTCAGCTAAAGGCTTTTCTGGGAATATCCCTGACTTCTACAGCCAGGGTACACTCACCTCTTTGGTAGTAGCAGTGTACAGTCTGACCCTAGAGAGTTCCTCTGTTTCTAGCCTATTTTAGAGAAATCCTGCCTTTCCTATTTAAGTTCCTGGTATATTTCTTAATATTTACATTGAGTGTATATTTAAGCAATTTTTTAAAACTATAAAAGTAATACATTTTATGGCAAACTGAAAAAACCCAGAAAGGTGTAAAGGAAAGGTAAAAGTCCTTCTCACTCTTCAGACCCCCCCTTTCCCAGTTCTATTTTTCACAGGTAACTGCTGTTAGCAATTCCTTGTATGTAGAAAATGCCAGTACTTACGCAGGGATAAAATGTATACTTTATATCCCTTATTTGTGATTTTTAAAGTCTGTTAAAATAAGGTTATATTGTAACACTGAAGAGTGTTCATTGTGTTAAACATTGTGTAAGTCATATTTCTCATATTTTTATCATTTGAATAAAATCACAGAATGAAATTTCCTATACTAATTCTCTAAAGTGTGTATATGTGCAAATGTATACATGTGCAAATTTTCTTAGTTAATGATTGAAGGTGAACTTTACTTTTTGTTTTTCTTTCTCAAGTATGGTATATAATTAACAGTGAGAAAAGGTGTCTTTTTTAAAAAGGGCTTATGACATGGGGTATTGAAATGCCCACATCTGGTGGCCCTTCACAGAAAAAGTTTGCCAATCCCTGATTTAGAGAAAAAAACATCCTGTTGAAAGGATGTTTTAGATACAGTATCAAAGAAGGGGGTGCCACACTGTTTGTTATTTTCTGTAAGATTATATTAATAGAATTTGTAAAGCTAAGAACTTCAGTATTAGTAATTGATACAGACTTTTTTTTTTTCTGAGTTGTAGATAAATCTCTGTGGGATTTCAGAACCTTAAATGTTTCTTTTAATTTATTTGCGAAAAGTCAAGGTCAAATAGGACTGGCTACAGGTGAATTTGTGAAGTGAGCAATCTTCAGGTTTGAAGCCTTAGGTCATTTAAGATGCTTTTGCTGCAAATAACGGAAAATTCTGAAACTGGTTTAAACAGTGAGAAAATTTAAGGTCTTATATAATAAAGTACAGAGGCTCAAGAAACATCAAGGACCCATTCTCTTTCCAACTCTCCGCTCTGTGACCTTCCCCGTTAGCGTCATACTAAGACTGCCCTTCCCCCTTGTCCCAGTTTGGCTGCCTCAAGGACTATCATCCCATCCAGACATGGCAATATCCAAAGGAATAAGAGGAGCTGTCTCTTTTCCAGAAGTCCCCCCGCAGATGTCTTCTCAGCCTCATTGACCAGGGGTACATTCCATCCCTAACCAGTCACTGGCAAGGGTAGTGGAATTGCCTTTTTCCTAACTCTGTTTCCATTACATTGTTTTCATTATTCATCTGTCCCAAGTGTCTTGGATTCTTTTTTACCCTCACCCAAAAGTAAGATCCAAGATTGATCTGTCATACATAGTCATATGTAGGTTAGCGTGAACATACGAGTTCATATCTTCTTGGGTACCAAATTTAGGTAAATTATGGAATGCAAATGCTGATTACTGTTAAAATACGTGACAAACTACAGCCTGTGGGCTAAATCCAGCCTACTTCCTATTTCCGTAAATGAAGTTTTATTTGAACACATCATAGCTCATTTGTTTTCATATTATCTATAGCTGCTTTCCTGACTCAACAGCAGAGTGGTTGATACAGACACTGTGTGGCTTACAGAGCCTAAATTGTTTATTACCTTGTCCTTTACAGAAAAAGTTTGCTGACCTATGCTTTAAGTTGACAGTCATGCATTCAGACAGTTATTATTATGTGCCAAGTACCCTTTGTATTTGAGGATGGAAAGATGAGTAAGATACCGAGAAGTTCATACTCTGGTAGGAAGATAGTGTGCCATACAGTATATCAAAAAGTGTGTTAAGTTATAGTGGTGTGTATAAACTGGAATTAATATTTAGTGCAACAGTGTTCTAAGCAGAGTTTTCTGTAATGTGAATTCTGGATGTTTCTTGCTTCCTACTTTTAAGAAAACTTTCTGTAGTTTCTGTAAATTAACTGATAATCTTTCAATAAGTTAACCAGAGTAGGTGTGTTTGTAACCAGAAATCCTGGCTAGTACATGGAATAATGGGGGGCACATGAGTACGACAATAGGGACCCTTAATAAAAGGGAGAATGGAGACAAAGGAAATCTCATCTATGGTTAATAGACTCTAGAACCCTTTGGCTTGGATTAAACTTTGTTAGCTGTCATGAGGACTCTTGATATTTAAGCTGTTTATAGATTCTACACTTAGAAAAACTGTACAAACTTAGTTTGGTTATTAAGCAAAGTTAGTTATATATACCAGAAAGCTCACTACTTACATCTGATCAACAAGCAGAATGATTATTATAGTTATCAGTAGGAGTGTCATATTTGGCCCTCTAATTTAATTTGATTGTCAAATTAGATGACATAATTGAAACAGTTTTGGATAGAGATGGTAAAGGCCTGAATTCGGGAAACCTAGTTGTGAGGAGCTTCTTCCCCATGTTCATTTTTGCTGCCTCTTCATAGTGATGCTTATTAGATTGGTCATTTTACAACATAAAAAATGAGAGGAAACT